CCCCCATGGTCGCTTTCTCTGCCCTCGATTCTGATTTCGCAGTGTTTTGGCCGGTTACATTGGATACGAGTATAATCTTTGGTTATCTTAAACCGGTTTTAATTACAACTTATCCCGGTTAAATGTTTCAACCGGATAAATTAATTGTGACTCTAAAACGGTTATTTAAAAATATTAGCGGTAAAGAATTTGGTTTCCGGGTCAAATTGTCGTCTCAGACCGGAGAAATTATCAAAAACGGACTAAAACGATAATTTTTAATTTGTTAGGTACAGATTTAATAATTTCTCAAAAATTTACATCACCTCTTTTCTCTTGAACACCCACACAAGTAACAGAAGAAGGAAGAACAATTAGTCAAACACACAAAATTATTACAAGTTCGCGAAACTATGTCGTGCTTGGCTTCGTGCTGTGTGTCGGCGACTTGTGGGTTGTGTTCGTCGGTGGCTTCGGGGATTACGAGGAAATCGGCGAGGATTGCTTATTGTGGTCTCTTTGGTGCTTCTCTTGTCGTCTCTTGGATTCTTCGCGAAACTAGTGCTCCACTCCTCGAGAAATGTTCTTGTACGTTCTCTGATACCATTTGTTTTTTTTCATATCTTGTTGGCTTTACCGATGTTTCATGTCAGATTTCGCAGCTGGGTCTGCAAAAAAATTAGGATCATCATTCGATGATTGGAAATTGAATCCATCGATTTCGAAATTGGGTTTTCTTTGATCTTGTCAATTGAATTGAATCTGGTGGTTTATTCGATAAATTTTCCTGCTTTAAGTTTCTTAATTTCGATCTTGATTATAATTTATGGGTTTGCATATTGAGACATGAGCCATAGCTTATAGATATGAATATTAGTATTGGTTCAGTGGAAATTTGGTTCCTTTATCTTGGCTTGATAAGGCCTATAGAAAACTCAATATGTGTGTCTGCTTATGCTTCATGTAAGGGATAAACACTTCCGATTCATATACCAAAGAGTGGTATCAGCAGCAAGCCGTTCTTCGTGTGAGCTTAGGGAATTTCCTCTTCTTTGCGATATATGCTTTGATCATGATTGGTGTCAAGGACCAGAACGACAGGCGTGACTCGTGGCACCATGGCGGATGGGGTTTGAAGATGATCGTCTGGTTTTTGCTTATCGTACTCATGTTTTTTGTTCCAAATGTTATCGTCTCATTCTATGGTAAATTCTTGGCTCCTCATGACTCCTCACATACGAGGCTATCTCATAAGGTTATGTTTATGTTACTGGTTTTAGTTTATGAGCTTGAATCGGGCGGGTGGATAATATGTGTGATTATATATTATGCTTTTGTATAGCTGCAAGTAGCACAAAGAAGTTGATGGAATTCTTCCTTTTTATGTTTCTAGTTGCTAAAAGATTGAGAAGTTGTTGATTCTTCATCTCTTTTAAAGTCAAAATTATTACTTTATCCGCTTTTGTTTATATGTATAACATGGCCATATATGGCGACTAATCTCATTGCTTGCACATTCTCTTAGGAATTTTATCAAAATTTGGTGCTGGAGCATTTCTGTTGGTTCAAGTGGTCTTGTTGCTCGATGCTACACACAACTGGAATGATTCATGGGTCGAGAAGGATGAAAGAAAATGGTATGCTCAATGCATTTTCCCTGTTTTTGTACCATTGTTCTGTTTTTCTTAATATTTCCGTTTGGTTTAGTGTGAGGTTGTGGCGTTGATTTAATGATAAGATTCTGACTTAATGGGTTCTTTATGTAGGTACATCGCTCTGCTTGTCATATCAGTCGTGTGTTACATTGCTACATACGCTTTCTCAGGAATTCTGTTCATGTGGTTCAATCCATCTGGTCATGATTGTGGACTGAATGTTTTCTTCATCATCATGACGATGGTCCTTGCCTTTGTTTTTGCCATTGTTGCTTTACATCCTGCGGTGAATGGCAGCCTTTTACCAGCATCAGTTATATCGGTTTACTGTGCTTATGTCTGTTACACGGGTCTCTCTAGCGAACCACATGACTACGTGTGCAATGGACTTAACAGATCCAAGGCAGTGACCGCTAGTACTCTAATACTCGGAATGCTCACTACGGTTCTCTCGGTTCTCTACTCAGCCCTCCGAGCTGGCTCTTCCACCACATTCCTCTCACCACCGTCTTCTCCGAGATCAGGTACTTCTCCAAACTCTTCAACACGCATGGGCAATAGGTTTCTCGGTTTTTTGAATTGGAAGTCTGAACTAGACTCGGATTTTGTTTTATTTGCAGGTGGGGAGGCATTGTTAGAGGACCCAGAGGATGGGAAGAAGAAAAATGGTGAAGGCGAGGCACGGCCTGTGAGTTACTCGTACTCTTTCTTCCATATAATCTTTGCGCTAGCGAGCATGTACGCTGCAATGCTTCTCTCGGGATGGACTGACTCATCAGAGAGTGCTACTCTGATTGATGTGGGATGGACCTCGGTGTGGGTCAAGATATGCACCAGTTGGGTCACGGGCGCTCTCTACATATGGACACTCATCGCACCGCTCATCCTTCAGGACCGCGAGTTCTACTAAAAGGGCTATATCAATCATGTGTGGATTTAGGGGGTTAGCACTTATATAATCCAGTGAATGTATGTATATCAGTATATGTGTAGACACTTAAAGTG